TTGTAACACCTGGCATTTGGGATAGAAAGCAAGCTATATTATATTCAAACTTAAGTAAGGGAGTTGAAAATGAGTTCATTGGTCATACAAGAACTTCACCACTTCCTAACCCTAAATATAGGGTGTCCAAAGGTGCGTTTAGCACAGCGCTCTATATGAGACTATTAAAGGAGATATATGCTGATTATAAATATATAATAAAAAATATGAATATATGTATATGATGAGTAAGTTGTATTTTGGCGCTATGCCGGGATATAAAATGAATTTTGAGACAAGAGGCGGTTTCGCGGGAAATTTTGGCGGGATTTTTTTCATTTTTTTAATGAATCATAAAGAAAACATCCTCGCTCTTGCAAAAAAATGCAAAGACTGTAAAAAAATCTACGAGACATTGGTAAAATGCTTCGGTATGGATGCTCCTAGCTATTCCACTGTAACGTATCATGTTAGGATGTATCACTTCATGAACAAAAAGGCGCCCATCATAAAAATTGACAAAAAATCGCCGGATCAAAGAAAAATCAAAGCAATTCTTCAAGCGCTAGATGAAGACCCAAGAGCATCACTCAGAAGGATAGAGGAGATGACAAAGATACCATGTACAACAGTCAGTTATTATCTGCACAATTATTTGAACTACAAACTAGCGTATACACGTTGGGTTCCGCACAATCTTAATTCAGTTCAAAAAAAATCTAGAGTCCAATCTTCGAAAGAGCTCCTCTCTATATTGGGTGCGTATCAATCCAAGAAGTTTCGCTTTTTAGTAACAGGGGACGAGTCTTGGTTTCAATATGCAACAGAAGCCAAAATCATGTGGATCCCGAAGGATGAAAATCCGCAAACATTCCCGAAGAAAAAAATTGACACACCAATGATGATGTTGTCGGTTTTTTGGGGCGTGAATGGCATCATCGCAATTGATATTCTTCAAAAACCTAATACGATGAATGCTCAGTATCTAATTGACAATGTTCTTACTCAAATTATCAATTCTGATGAGTTTGAGAAATCCAAACAACAAAAACAAAAGTTTGCAATTCATTTTGATAATTCAAGAGTTCACAAAAGTCATAAGGTAATGAATTACTTGGTGGAAAACAATGTCAAAGTTGTTCCAAACCCAATTTATTCACCTGATATTGCACCCTCTGACTTTTATTTATTCGGCACGCTAAAAAAGAGAGCTGAAGGACGCGAATTCGCGAGTCCAGATGATCTTGAAAATTTTGTAAGAGAGCAATTTGAGCAATTTTCTCATGATGATTTAAAGCGTGTCTTTCAAGCCTGGATCGATCGCTGCGAACGCGTGATTGAATCCAATGGTGATTATATTTAAATAAACTTTATATATATGTAACTTGTTTATTTCTATTCGCAGTATTCAGGTTTGTGCTAAACACACCTTTGGACACCCTATACTATAAATTAACTGGCTTCAATCGTGAGTTTTGGATAGACATGTTCTCCACTCATGACCATAACTGCCCAGTGTTCTTACCTCCAGACCATAAGGACTGTCTCTACATTGAAGCACAACTCTTAAACTCTACCATCGCAGTATTGTAAATGACCACATGGGCTTCGCCTTGCCGCTAGCGGCTTATTTTTATCACGAATGACCTCATTGCTGACAAAAATAAATGACCTTATTATTTTTCTCATTCATGACCTCAGAACTTAAGCTTTCTTATGAATGAAGTCTTAGTCTGAATAGAAAAGTTAAACTTTTCAGCAAAGCAAGGACTAGAAGACTTACATAAGTCAAATCCAATCTCTTGACCATCATGAAGTGCTTTGTAAAGTTTCATAACACTGAACTCAGAGTCTTTGTCAAATTTTCCTTGCGGAACCATTAAACCTTTATCTTCATTGTAATAGCATTGTATAGCTTCAGGAAACATTTCATTAGCTGTTAAAGCAAGGACGTCTTGTTTGACACCTTTGCAACGTGCATGGAATGCAACTTCATTTAAATCGTTTGTGAGTAAGTCTATGTAGGTCTTCTTTCCACAAAATATTGACTTGTATGCTAAACTTTGTTTTCCAGGTGTTATTTCTGCAAAGTCGCTATGAAATTGACCAAGGTTTTTACCAATGAGAACTCTTCCATAACGTTTCTCAAACTCTTCAGCTAAACGAGGGATATCTTCATTGTAGAGATGCATACTGTCGGTATCGCTATAAAAGATGTCCATTCCTAAGTCTTCAGCAGTACAGAATACTTCACACATTATTCTCTTCGACATAGATAGAATATTAACACCAAGTGGACAGAAGTTAAAGTGTCTGCAAATGCTTTTCGTTAGCTTGAAAATAGTTTTATCTGAACCATCCAAACCTTCGAACTTCACTATATGGTTGTAGTTTCTGATGGCATATCTTATAGCATCTTTGTCATCTACTATGGTTATTTTTGACTCAATAGGAGATAGAATAGTTTTGCCATAAATACTGTTCAGAATGAGCTTTATATTTTCTTGCAAAGGATTTCCTTCTTTCTTATACTTTAACCTTAACTCAAACAACTTCTTTACTTCATCTCTTATTCTAATATCTCTGTTTCCATCGTAATAGTATCCTTGCAACACTTCACATTTGACACCTTGATATTTTATGAGGTCTTGTAATGTTATATGGTCAACATACATGAACAGCAAGTGTTTGAACTTCTGGGAACGTTAAGTTCTGGATTTAGTTCAGGGTCACAAACTATTAAAGGAAAGTGTCTATGTATTCCAATCTCTGTTATCTTAATGAGAACAAAGAAGCCAGACATAAACTTTTCACCAATGGGTTCCTTTTGGTCGTCATCGAATAAATGTCTCATGAGATACTCTGTGCTTAACATCTCATCCTTCATAACCTTTGGAATTCCTTCTAAAGTATAAAGTCTTGCTATAGCTGATGGATATAATGAAACAGCGTCGAAGTCAGCAATGAGTTTCTTTTCGCTCTTTTGTTTCATGTTATCTGACAGCATACATCTTCCACCTTGAATGCATCTGAAATAAATTCTCTTGGTTTATTTGAGAGGTCATATAAATTTCCATTCGGGAAGTACACTCTGTTCTCAAACAATTTGTTAGCAATAGAACAAATACTAACGTAGTCATATACGTTTAAATCAAACTCTTTCAATATGTCATTGCGGAACTTAACAAAACCTTCTCTTAAAATTCTTACATCTTGTTTGCAATAAAATGAGCTATATTTTTCTAAGTCGAAGTGGTTTTCATCTATTCTGCAACCTTTGATGGAATCTATGTTTTTCATGAACGTATCAATATCTTTTACAAACTTACATGCTTCAGAAATGACACCAGTTCTGTTGTCATTTGCTAACAAAACACTGCTGTAGTAGTTGTATGGAAATACTTCTTTCGGTCCTGTTTGTAAGTTAAACATAGCAGGAAATAGTTTAAGCTTCTTATTTATAACACTGTAAGAGTCTTTTATAATAATTGCCCGTCCTTTATATAAACCAGTTATTTGCATTGTTCGTGAACCTTTAATGATGGGAGTTCCTTTCACTTCTGTCATGTGTCTTAAGATGAAGTTTATATCATAACTGAGGTTATGGAAATATATTAAACTCTTGTCAGGAAGTCGTTCCAAAAATTCTGTTGCACAGTTCTGACCCCAAATGCTTTCACTCACTGAACCATCTTCACTGTCATAACAGATGTTAAAAGCTTTATGAAAGCCATCCGTACTACACTCAAAGTCAGCAAAGAAAACGTGCTCAGGAATGAACTTGCACTTATTTTTATTTACTTCTTTTGACTCGGCTTTCTTCTTCAGTTGTACACAATACTTTGGAGCATATGTCAAATCTTTAAATGGTGCAAGGTTCTGTTTATATAAGTCAGTCGTATATGTGAAAAGTTCTCCATAAGAAATAGGTTCGAAATATTTGCACTCCCACAATGTTTTCATAACATCCCATAGCGGTGTAGTTCTATCCATGCGAACTACATATTTATCTTCTCTCTTTGTATAAATCTTCATCTGTTTCTCAATGTTCATTCCACCACACTCCTTCAAGATTTCTATATAGTTGCGAATGAAATATGTTGTCATTGGAAGTCTTTCATTTAGCATGTAGTGGTCTTCAACAAGAAGTAAGTCAATAGTTCGAACAGTTTCACATTCTTTTGGTATGTATCTCTTTATTTCATTATGTCTTGAGTCATTGAAGTAACCAATGGTAACATTAAATGCTATACCTGTTGCGTCAGAAATTTCTTGTACTTTACTTTGAGGAAAGTCTCTAACACGAATGACTTCTCTCATGTGGTCAATAGTTTCTTCATTTACTCCAGCCTGAATGCAAGCATAAACGAAACAATTGTCTTCTGTCATAAGTGTTGCAGTTCTTTTGTTCAGTTCATTGAAGATTTGGTAGCGTTCAAGATTTATAGGTAATGTGCAAAGATACTTCCAGAACTGACCGCTTCTCTTCTTATAAAACTTCTTTTCACCATTATCTTTCCAAAAGCTTTCTATAAGTGCTGGGTTTCCTGTTTGCTTAAGAGCTTCCAAAATGGCTTTCTGGTCATTTGTCAGTGTGCTTTCATCTCTATATGGTCTCTTTTTTGGTTTGCCTTTCTTTACATCTGACATCGTTAAGCCTTCATATTCTGTTAAATCATACATCTTTATTTCAGTAAGATTCTTTATGTTTGTCAAGAAGAAGTCATAGTGCATTTCAACAATACCTGCAGCATTTGCTTCTATCTCTGATATAAAGTTCTCCTTCAAGAGCTGATGTAGTAATGTTCCAATATTATTGAGGTTTAACGTAGAACATTCATACTTTCCACCAAGTTTATAACATACCATCCATCTCTGTTGTGAGTTTATTTTAATTTTCTCTAAGAGTCTCATGAAAACCTTACCGAAATGTTTGTGTAAGTAGTCTCTGTTTGGTTCATCTAAAGCTTCGATGTTAAAGTCAATGAGTCTATTGCCTGACTTCACATTTCTCTTCCTATTCTCTTCATCTTTCTTTAACCATCTCTCACCTTCTTTTGGTTTGTCGTCAATGGAACGAATGACATCGTTAGCTTTGCGAACTTGTTCTATAGCACTTTTAAACATCTCTCTTCTCTGTTGTTTCAGTGTGTCGTCTCTTCTTCTTGTTTCACCAACGTTTGCATTTGTTATGTCAAACATTTCTCTTCTTACTTCATGAGGTACTGAACGTCTATGATATAAGTCAATAGCAACGTCATTTAAAGGAAAAGTTCTTGCATGGACTTCGTCCTCGCCGCGTTGCGGCTTTATGAACTCATGAATTCTATCATAAGTTATTTCACCATTGTAGTCATTGAGGATGTCAGCGAGTGCTTTTTTGTTTGTCGCGTAATGTGTTGCTACTTCTATGTTAGCTTCTGTAAGAAGTTGTTTTATTTCCGAGTGTTCTAACTTAGACAACTTCCGATACATCTTTAGTAGGAAATAAAAAATATTTTTTTTAAAAAATTAGATTACATTTTTTAAGTTATTTTTCAAAATAATTTAATATTTTTATTTTAATGAAACACATGCAAGATTGCAAGTTCTTTTCATACAATGCTCTCGCTACTGCCATCAAGAATGAGTTCAATGGTGCTTCAAACGTTAATGTTATCTTTAACAAGAAGTTTGTGAAAGAATCTAAGTTTGGTCAGTATGTCAGACCATTAGCTATTGTCATTGACCGCAAACGTTATACTTCACAAGAGTTAGCAGTAGTTTTGAAACAAAAGAGTTTCTTCGTGAATGTCAAAGATACTCATTATACTGTTATAAAGAACTCTAATATTGACTTCTTCAGTATTGTTTTAGATTTATCGCAGCAGAAAGAATATAAGAAAGGTGAAACAAATGTGAAATATTATCCTTCATCTCTGAAGACAATAACGAACAAAGATGTTATACAGAAATTCTTACCAAAGGTTGAAGAAGCTTCAATTGACATTGACGAAGGAAGTGAAATGGTTGAAGAAATTGACCCTGAAGCTATTTAAGCAAAAATATATTTTTGGTTAGTCTTCATATCGATATTTTACAACAATTCCCCAATGTATAAACTTTTCATACGCTTTTTCATAAGCTTTATATACCTTCAGAAATTTTGCATAATCTTTAGAAGCATTTAGATATTGTTTAAATGCTTTATATACCTTCAGAAATTTTGCATAATCTTTTACATGTTGTTCGTTCTCTTCTTCTGTCATGAGTTCCGAATATTCTAAATTCATGTTCTTTCATATGAGATAAAATTTTATAAAAAAATAAAATTAGCTTAGATTTTTTTATTCTTCCTCTTTGAAGTTGTCGAAATATTCTGTTATTTTTTCCTTCAGTAATGGTAAGTCTTCTTTGAATGTAAGTATTGTGCAACCTTTGATGTCATAGTGTGTTTGAGGAAGAGTACTTTTGACAATTTCCTTTATTTGCTCATTCGGTGTCATTGAAATCGGTAAGTTTTCACGATAGAACCAGTTTCTGTCAGATTGTAAATCTTAGCAAGGTCATAAAAGCTTTTGTTGTTTCTTCTGACTAAATGCAACATAACCATATCTCTGTCTTCTTCTTTCTCCAACTCTTCAGTATATATCATATACTTATAGTTCTTTTCCTTTCCTTTTGGTACTGAACGCGGTATTCTTTTCTGTATGCTTTTGTCTTTGGATTCAATGACTTCATCTTTTGCATGAAGTTTCTTTTCCATCTCTCCACGTTCTGCTTTATATAGTTCATCTAACATCATGAAAATATAACAAGCATAACGAGGTGAAGCCCACATTGCTACAGCGTTTACTAAAAGTCTATGAACATAATAACCTTTCAAACCAGGAGCCAAATTCTTGCGATTTTCGTACGGAATCTCTTCTCTCGGTTTTCCGAGGGAAGCAATCATATGAGGAAATTCTTCTAAAAGTTCTTTTGTCTGTTGGTTTTCAAACCAATGATATGCTTGCTTTGTAGAACGAAGAGCATTCATTATACTTTGCATTTGGTACATGTCATCTTTGACTGAACGAATGAGACGTAACTGTTTGTTATACTGTATGTACTCGTATTCTTCATTAATGGCTTCATGAACGATAGCAATTGTTGTGTTCTCTGATGTTGACATTACTGTCTTTACATACAAAATAAAAAAATAAATAAAAATAAAACTAACTTTATTTTTCTGTGTTAAAGAAATGTTAAAAATTCATGGTTACATATGTGAAAAGAAGTCACGAACAAATGAAGGTCATAAGATTCAGCACATAATTCTGAATTGAATGGTGTGTCATACATGTCAAACCGTCAAGAATTGAAGGAGATACGAGGCTATAAAGATTTTGGATATTTTCTGACACACACCCTGAGGGAAAAGTGACAAAACACGACGATAGAAAAAGTGACAAAATGAGAGAAAGTTGTTTCCCGACCAAAATGCAATCATGTTGAAAAAGTGACATTTGTAAAGTTGGACGATAGGATTTCCTGAAAAAGTGCAAGACTTGTCTTGAATCAGGACAAGATTTGTCTTGAAAAAATACAAGACTTGTTCTGAAAAAATACAAGACTTGTCTTGAATCAGGACAATTGTTCTCAAATTTGAGAACTTTACAAGAAAAACTGACTAAAAAGTGCAAGTCTTGTTCTGAATCAGGACAAGATTTGTCTTGAAAAAATACAAGACTTGTTCTGAAAAAATACAAGACTTGTCTTGAATCAGGACAAAACTTTACAAAATGTAAACTTTACATAACCGTTTCTATCGTACATGATATTTAGTTGACATTGTAAACTATCTTCATGTAAAGTATGGCGGTTTGAAACCGTCGGGAACCTTCACTTTTTTGACGAACTTTCCGCAGCAATTTTTAAAATGTGTGAAAACTCAACGGTTTGACACGTGCCATATGTCATTTTACTCAGAATTTTGTGCTGAATTCAGCAAAAATAAATGGTTCATTTACTCACAATATTTTTGTACAAAACGACCCCAAACTTTTAACTTCTTTTCTGCAGTTTCTAATGCTATCTTAGCGAGTTCATATTCTCTAAATTCTCTCTTTAAATCTTCTTGTTCCCATTGGTCTAGTTCGTATGGAGAATCTCTATAATCATAACATATCTCACGTTCATGTTCTAATTGTTTTTCATGCATTTTTCTAACTTCTTGTTCGAACAAAGGTTTAGCATTCTCTACTGTATCTTCAAGTTCTTCTTCATCTAATTTCTCATGAACTTTCTTGTCTATGGAGTCCATAATTTTCCAACTGCTATGCAATATTTTGGAGAAGCCCACATTGCTATATAGTTTATAAGTCTTGGGTCTACATACGTTCCTCTAACCTGTTTGATTTCATCAGGAATTCCTGCATGAATTTTGTATAAAAAGCAACCGTCTGTATTCCGACGGTTGCTATATTCTTCACAAAACGCCTTATAATACTCTTCCCAGGACTTATTTTCCAACAACTTTCATGAGATAAATAAGAAATAACTTTCATTTTTCATTAGATAACTGTTATTTTTGACGAAGTGAAGATTTGCACTTCGTCAAAAAATCCCTGAAATCAAGAATTAATCCCGTCAAATACAAAAAATGAGGGTAGAAATGAGGTTAGATAACTGTTATTTTTGACGAAGTGAAGATTTGCACTTCGTCAAAAAATCCCTGAAATCAAGAATTAATCCCGTCAAATACAAAAAATGAGGGTAGAAATGAGGTTAGATCTAACCATCTACCCTAAACATTATTTTTGGTCATGGACTTCGTCCTCGCCGCTTTGCGTCTTTATGTTAAAATAAATGGTACCATTAATAATACATGACTGTTCTCATTCATGTCTGATTTACATCTAATGAAAAAGTTTAGAAGAATTTTCTTATTCTTTCTGGCATATTTTTGTCTTTCCAGTACTCCCGCTCTAATGGTCCCAGATGTGTTGGCTTTGACTCTCTCAAGTTCTTAGATGGTATAACATCTTCAACACCTCCTTCATATCTTACTTTATAAGTGTCATCGTTTATGTTGTAGTCAAGTATTTCAATAACCACTCCTCGCTTTGCTTCGTCAATGGTTTCAGCAAGTTTGCCATTACTACTTTCGACTAATTTATGTCGAGGATAAAACGCAATAGAGTCGTCGGCAGCTTTTATAAGATATCCATTACCTTGCGTAGAGTCTACGATATAATAATTTCGACTTAACCTTAAACGTTTCTTTGTCAACGGTTTGTCGTCAAGAACTACACGAACTTTTGTACCAGGAATGAGGGTAAATTGTGTTGAATTTCTGATATTTTGTGTTTGGCTTCGTTTCTTTTGTATATACTTTTCTTCTTGTTGTTGTGTCATTGAATTTGGTGTATGTCCTGTTGTAGAATGTGTTGAGGAATTATATACTTCGAGAAAATGTTTCATTGTTTCTTCGGTAAAGTCTCGCTCTTGATTTAAATCTCTGAGCGTTCTTATGAAGCGGTTTATGATGCCGAGTATGTTATGGTTATGGTCTTCAGTAGTGTAGTGAGTTATGTTATGCTTAATGAGAAAATCTGTGATTTCATTGCTGAGATATGCACTGTCTTGGTCTGATGTTAAAGTACTTGGGCTATGTTCTGCTACAAACTTTTGTAAAACTCTTAACACTTCACGAGTTCCTTTATTCATCATTGGATATGCATATGCTTTGCGAGTGTTAACATTAATGAAGATGAGGAATGGTTTATGTCCTCCTTTTCTGCTTTGAATGAGAGTGTCAAATTGGTATGCGTCTGGAGTGTTGGAGTAAATTGGTAAAAAGTAGTCGTAAGGGTTTATTTTTGTTTGATGTACAACATTTTTGTCAAAGAACCTTTTCACTTCAGCTCTGTTAGTAAATCCCCAACTCTTTGCAGCTTCATTGAACTTCTTAAATGACCTCCATGGATGTTGTTCGAATACTTCTTTCAAGCTCATTTATGTAAAGTTAAAGATTTTATTCTAGGCTCAAGCGCGTTCATTGAACGCGGTACCATGCAAATACAGTCACAAATGGTGGCATGTAATCTGCACCCGAGCCTGTTGGATTTGTTGTGAAAGTATGGACATGATTTCCTCCTGGTTCAGTTGGTCGAAAAGTCTTTTTTGCTGAATTGTTATAAGATGGAGATAAAACATCATTGCCAGCTTCATACTCTGAGTTGTATAATGGATGGTCTCTTAATGAGTGGCTATGGTCGCCAGAAAAGTTTGTAGTTCCTGTATGAGTGTGCGGTGGAAGGTTTGCTTCAGTAATTTTCTTCGAACCTCCTGTTTGCTTTGAAGAGTTAGCACAGTATAAGAATTTGTCTACAATCTGCTGCCATGTACCAAAACCTAAAACTGTTGCTGGATTTGTTGAGTTCATTGACGTATAAATAGAGCCTATAGGATATAATGTTTCGAAAAAACCAGAATTTTCGAAAAAGTGACACCAACTATTAAAGTTATTTTATTACTAGATTTATTTACAAATTATAAGATAATATCATTAACCGAATATATTTTTAATATAAATAAAAAACTTTTTTTATACAAAAAATTACAATCAATCGATAAATATTATAAAACATTTATTCCAAAAAGATTAAGTAATAGGTGGGATCCTGCATATAATATAATTTTATGTCATAAAGTTTACAAATTTTAGATGGACCACAGTGAGAATGTGAGTGGTTAATTTAAAGGTGGTCTGATAAAGACATCGAAGCTTACTCAACACAGCATGAAGCAGTTTCTAATACACAATCTTACTAGTGGTGTTTCGGTCGCCAGCGCTCTCATAGGGGTGCTGATTTCAAAAACCACTACTTCAAATTATTCAACAATACTCAATGCAGCATGAAGCAGCTACTACTGCTGTATCTTACTGGTAGTGTTTTGGTCGTTGGCTCTTGCACAGTCTCTCAGATTTTCAAATTTTTTTTCAACACTATCTTGTTTCGCTCTCAGAAAGCTATCCTACAAAGACATCGAAGCTTACTCAACACAGCATGAAGCAGTTTCTAATACACAATCTTACTAGTGGTGTTTCGGTCGCCAGCGCTCTCATAGGGGTGCTGATTTCAAAAACCACTACTTCAAATTATTCAACAATACTCAATGCAGCATGAAGCAGCTACTACTGCTGTATCTTACTGGTACTGTTCTTCGCTTCTTACTATCAACTCTAAACTAGTTCGATGTATTATTTATTCATATATAAATATATACATATATAAATATATACATATATAAATATATACATATATAAATATATACATATATAAATATATACATATATAAATATATACATATATAAATTATACATATATAAATATATACATATATAAATATATACATATATAAATATATACATATATAAATATATACATATATAAATATATACATATAAAATATATACATATATAAATATATACATATATAAATATATACATATATAAATATATACATATATAAATATATACATATATATAAATATACATATATATAAATATACATATATATAAATATACATATATATATAAATATATAAATAACAAAATACAATCAAAAAATAGTGTTTGGAAATTTAAGGTTAAGTGTCACTTTTTCGTAAATTCTACCACACTCCCATGTACCAAAACCTAAAACTGTTGCTGGATTTGTTGAGTTCATTGACGTATAAATAGAGCCTATAGGATATAATGTTTCAAGAATCTGAGTCTTTAATGTTTGAAGCTCTGTTTTGTCGGCTTTACTGTCTAACATTGCTGGTAGTTCATATGCTTCAAAGTTTCTGGCATGACTTTCAATGTTCCTGCAACTCTTATCTAAACTGTTAAGAGTATCTTTTACGCTTGTACTCGGATTCTCTAAAGGTGCACTTGAACCCAAATCATAGTTCAATATTATGTCGTCTGCTCTAACAGTAGTGAAGGATTTATGTGTATGGTTCTTGTCAGCTTTATTATCATATAAATCTTGAGCAGTGAATTTAACATTATTTTCATCATCCATGACATAAACATTTTTACAGCTAATTTCTTTCTTCGTTGTTATGTTTTCATTTGAAGTTAAACCTTGTGGAAAGTTTGGAGGCTTATAATATAAAGCAGCCGCGTGCGGCGGAGCCCAGCCCTCCCCACCAGTTCCGTCAACCGTTCCTTTAATACTTTCTATAGCAACAGTTGAGAAGGAGTTATGTGTATGTTCTTTATCTGCTTTTTTATCTAACATTGCTGGTAGTTTATATGTTTCAAAGTTTCTGACATGACCTTCAATGTTCATACATTTACTATTTAAGGAGTTTAGTGTATCTTTTACGCTTGTACTTGGATTCTCTAATGGTGCACTTGAACCAAGGGTATAGTTCAATATTATGTCGTCTGCTCTAACAGTAGTGAAGGATTCATGTGTATGGTTCTTGTCAGCTTTACTATTTAATGTAGCTTGAAGTTCATTTATATCGGAGATATTGTGTTTATGAGATTTCAAAACTTTGTTCGTTGCGTCAAGTTCATCTTTGTCGGCTCTACTTTTAATAGCATCTTCAAAAGTTATTTTTGCCTTAACTCTCAATGTAAATCTTGGTTCAACTAATACACCGTTAACATTGAAAGTAGAGGCATAAATTTCATCGTTATAACTAAATGCTTCTAGCGCTTTACCTGTGTCATAATGTACAGTACAGCTTATGTCATAACCTTTAGCACGAATGTATTTATATCTTCTTTCATTAACATCTTCCGTCTTCACTTTTTCATCCTGTGTTAAATATCCATGGTAGTCCGTTATAATCTGTTCATCTGAAGTTATATAATGAACATGGTTTTTATCTGCTTTACTATTTAATGTAGCTTGAAGTTCATTTATATCGGAGATATTGTGTTTATGTTCTTTATCTGCTTTTTCGGCTAATTTCTCTTCTATCTCATTTATTTCAAGTTCATGCCTACCACCACCTCCTTCAGAAGTATTTTTCTTCAGCTCTTGAAGAACGTCCACTTCGCCATCTTTGGTGTCAATAATGAGACTTTGAGTTAAAACCTTTCCTGTCTTAATGGATGTTTGTAAAACTTCTTCTTCACCGTGTTCGGGGTCATGGTCGTCATCATATCTTGTGAAATCAGAGATGTTGTCATACATTAAGCATATCTGTCTCAAAAGTTCTGCTATTTGAAACTGGAACGAAAGATATACAGAACTTTCATCATCTCCTAAAGTCAAGTCTGCTTTCTTAAGTATTTCTTGAATGTATGCAATGAGAACAGAGTACCTTGGAAAATATTCGAACAATATTTCATTAGCTGTTGGTTTTGGTGGTTCTTCTGGAGTTTCTGTTGGAGTTTCTGCATCTCTTGACTTCAATGCTCTTGCTCTCAAAGACCTAAATGTTAGAGCACCGGGTTTTACAAAGGACTTTATAAATGTTTAATAGTTCCTGGTAAGTTATTGTTAGCATTAAGTAAGTTCCTTATGCTTCCATCATGTACGTCCATAGCACTATGTAAAAAATCTATACTTTTCTTGTAGTCAGCAATAGACTGACTGTGATTTTTTAAAGATTTGTCAATACCTTTAAGCCAATCTTCATGCATGTCTGATACTGAGCCAAGAATATCATTTGCTTCCTTTAGTGTATTTTGTGCTTCTCGTAAAGTATCCAATCCCGTACGTGCATTGTTTGCCTATACGTCTTACAGTATCTATTTGACTCCTTGTTTCTTGCATCCAACCAGATAAAGTTTTTAATAGTATCCGAACCATTTGAAATGAAGTTCAAAGCATTTTAACGTCATCTAAAGCTTCTTCACCAAGTACTGCCCATATCTTTCCGATTTGGTATTGAAGAACTCCATATGAAGCAGCTGTTAAACCAGTATTTATAAGGTCCCATATCCATGATTTAGCAGTTTTTTTCCATCCTTTCCATCCAAACCGTTTTCGCCTTGAGGTCCTTGTATTCCTTGTATTCCTTGTTCCTTGTGGTCCGGTGTCACCCTTCTCTCCTTTCAGTTCATCTTTATGTTCGTTATAATATTCTAATGTCATAAGGTGTACATCATTACTGCTACCAGCAACGCCGAGAATTTGTTTCTCATTCATGACTAAATTCTTTAGGCATTTAATGTTGTCGTCAAATCGAAAGCTCTTTAACAATTCAATGAGAACATTCAGTACTTTCACTAATAAGGCATCTACTGTAGAATTTATATATTGCACCGTTCCATCATTTATGATGGGAACCTTGCTTGTTGTAATGAATGGGTCATAAGTGTTAAAAGTATCGAAATCAATGACGTTTTTAGTTTTTCCATCGTCAATGACTAAATCATTGCCTTCAATGGTTAAAGTTGAGTTTTCGTTTACTAGTTCATGTGCTCTTCTTGCTTCATTTGTTTCATACGCATATGCAGCAATAGTCATATTTTAATGAGAATAAAATGTTGTTCTATTTGCAAAGTACAGACCCAAACGAATACGGGACAGTAAAGCTACAAACAAACTTAGGTCTTCAGAATGAAGCGCTTGCTTTCAGAGTTGTTGACTTTAATACTATTGCTTCATTCGTTATAACTGACGAAACAGATTTCATGGAGTTTGAAATAGATGACAAAAGAAGTTTTATAACATTTCCTAACAGAGCAGAGTATAGAATAGATAAAATTGCTGGAGTCATAGATACTCTCATAAATGAAGAAACTATTGACAACATAGATGTCGAACTCTCTTCTGAGGGAACATTGAAGTTCAGTTATGCGAAAGAGTTTAAGATAACACGAATGAGTCATAGAGTTCAATTGCTTCTGGGAGCATACCATATGCAACTACCTTTGAAAAGTGTTGACAAAACGATTGAGATGAAATCTGTTCCATACGTATGTTGTGGTAATTGTTTGTACATTGAGTCTAAAATAGCTAATGTCACAGGTATTTCAGGAGTTAATAGTAAAGGTTCAGTAGAATATAAATCCTTCTGTTATGCAGTCAATTCAATGTTCATTCCAAACGTTCCTGTCATAGCAACTCATTTAGGTAAATGGGTTCGCATTAGTCCTCATAATTTGAAAGACATGCAATTCAGACTTGTTGACTTTCAAGGAGAGCCTGTAGAACTGAAGGCACCAGTGCGAATGACTGTTGAAGTTGACTTTTTAGAAAATATTAAATGCAACAGCTTACAAGAGAACTCAGAGCTAAAAATATAAAGTATGAATGTTATGTATTAGGTCATGAACTTTGGTTGTTGCTGTTTGATGAAACAAATGAATTAGTTATGTCAGTCAAGAGAACAGAAAAATATTGTGTTAGTGAAAACTGCACCAAGTCAATAAGATTAGGTTTGCATTATGAAGATGAGTTCGATACTGTTGAAGAAGTTTGGATAGATATTACAAATTGCTTTAATTTACTAAAACATATTTCAAGCAAAGTTTATATTCTGTTGAAAGTTTTGTATACTCGTTCGAATTTTACTTAAACTCAACTCCTGTAGTTCCTGGTGTTTCAATGATGCGGATGTTACCTATTTTCATGAATAGTGGAGTTTGACCACAGCATTCGATTTCAGGGTCGAGATAGTCAATGACACATTGTTTCCCTGTTATTCGTGAGATAACATTTTCAAGGTCCTCCTTTGTTAGAATTATTTGGTTCTTGCTTATAAGATTTGTCAAAAGCTTCTTATCGTCTTTGAGTAAAAATTGTTTGGTATAACTGAAGAAGGTAATGGTCTACGTTATCTGAAGGATTTGTTTGAACATTTGTGTAAGGGTTGTCGTTGGCTTCTCTTGAAAGAATTTGGTCCAGTGGTGGATACTCTAACTTAACATCTGATGTAGCGTTAGCGTTTGAAGCTGAGTTTAAATTCACGGATTTCAGTTTCTGGTTTCTTTTTCTTTCAAACACTCTGAACTATAGTTCTTTATGACAAATTGTTTGTCGTTCGTGAGTCAAATTTGATGTTGGTTCAATTGGAACATTAACAGCACAGCTAAGATGGATTTGCTTCTCATTTCATATAGAATAAGAACCTTTTATATGTATGAAATGAACAATATACTCGACAAGGGTTTGAATGTAAAGCTAACGAATGAAAATATTGTTGAATTCACTGAGACAGGTGCTGTGTATAAGATGTAGAACTACTGAACAAAAAGAGCTAAGGGAAGAAGCAGGAACATGAACAAAGGGTGGAAGCCTATAAAAATTTATGTCAATGATGGCTCAGGAGTTCAAACATAAAGTATGCAGAAAGTTATAGAGTTTATGCTCTCAAAGGTGAAAAGCCTTCATTAAGAACAGCTATTCTAACGCATATCCTCAAAAGCTAACGGATGGGGAAGTGGATGATATGAATGACAGCAAAAATATTAACAGAAATGGCGACAGAGATGCATGGAATTTGTTTACCATCAGTCAATTGAAGGTTAAACTTTAAAACAATGTTGGTCGTTCCCATGGAATATTTTTGACTTTAATGGTATTAGTCATGATATGAATCTCAAGGTATGAACGAGGAGAGATGAGAGACTTATATGCTTCCCAAATTTCTTCAAAAAGGTAATGTTATACCTGACTGTTTCCAAATGAGTTCAATATCATAGCGTGAGAAACCTTGAAAGATAACGAAGTCAGTTATGAGACGTTTTATGTTTAAAGCTAAAAACCTCCATGTTTGCATAAGTATTGCTACAGTTAAGTGGTAATGTCTGACTTTAGTAATGATGTTAGCTAATGGTGAGTCAGCTTTGACACTAAACCTTTTCCGGCGAAGTCGTCGCAAACGAGCAGAGTGTTTGAAGGATACTTTTTGAAGGGTATTTTGAAAGTTTTGACAGAATGTAGTTTGTAAGTCGTTTCATATCGTAAACTCCTGAGTATTGAACGTAAGTGGTGTTTGTCAATAATTCTTTCCATCTCTTCTGAAGTCTTTGCATTCCTGACTGTATAAATTCAACGATGGCATAATATTCCTCTTACGTCGAATGTAACGTTGAAGAATTCAATGAGTTCACTGTCTGGAACTTTAACGACAGAGGCTTGAACTTTTGACATAAATGTTTTCGCTGTTGAGTCCATAGAGTCTGAAGTTGCTGATATAATGATTTGGTCATAATATGAGTCATTTCCTAAAACGTTCTGTTATGATATATGACGAATGAGGTTAAATGTCTTACCTGAACCCATCTTTCCACAATAGAAATAAACACCATTTGAACAGAACTCATAGTCCTTAACTGAAAGGAAGAATGAGAGAAGAGTTAAGTTTGTCTGTAGTTTCATTCATGTCTTCATCTACGTCATGTATTAAATGCTTCATTTTTCTCCATTAAAATGCAAGTCAGAAATATTCAGAACATAGCACCGAGTCTAACTGACAAGAGTATAAAGATATACTATGAACACGTTATGATGAAACCTACCAAAATTCAAGAAAGTCAGTATACTTATGAATATCCAAGACACTGGGTAGAGTATGTAGGAGGTGAGAAAGCTATTGAAATCAAGACAGGTTCGAAGTATTCCAGCGGAAGAACAATATTATTGAAGAAACTTTAATGTTTTGAGATATAATGATGAAACAAGAAGCAAGATAGTTTCCCTGTTGCTGTGTATGTGAACTTAGATACAGGAGATGACATGAAAGTTTTTAACACAAAGCTTCAAACGGTTTGAAAGAACAACTTATAGCAGAAGGACACCCATTACCTTCAGAAGTTACCATAGCATATAATTTTGAAACAAATGCAATAGATTTTAAAGTCATCTCTGCAAAGAAGTCAGGATTTAACATTTAATGAAGCAGATGTATATTCGAATGAAAACTTCAAAGCTATTGCATGGTTAGATAATGAGATTGCTTTAAGAAAATCTTTAAATTCAGTGACTCAAAGATGTCAATAGATGACCTTCGTGGAATGTTACCATCGACGTTTACAGTAGAAGGTTCAGCAGGATTGCTTACAAGATTGTCAATTGGTGGTATTTGGTCTCGTGAGAACATTGTTATAAAATCCAGTATAAGTGAATTTGCTGAAGAATCTATATTATGTCTTTCAAACTACATGTATTCGCCACCGAAGCATTATAGTATAACAAAACTTTGTCAGTAAGTTTAACATAAGACTTGTCGAACCTTCTTC